ACTGTTGCCCAGGCTGGAATTCAGTGATGCTATGTCAGCTCACCCTCCACTTCCTGGGTTCAAGCATTTCTCTTGCCTTAGCCTCCTGAGTAGCTGGGACTACAGGGGCACACTGCCACTCTTGGCTAATTTTTTGTATTTTAGTAGAGACGGGCGTTTCACCATGTTGCCCAGGTTGGTCTCGAACTTCTGAGCTCAGGCAGTCCACCAGCCCCAGCCTCCCAAAGTGCTAGGATTACAGGTGTGAGCTACCGCAACCTGGCCTCTTTCATATTGTTTACACTTCTCATTTCTTCTTGTTTTAGTGTGCTGGAGAGCGGCTCCAGAATAGAATTCAGTAGAAGTTGTGACAGTAGGAATCCTTATCTTGTTCCTGATTTTAAAAAGGATTTAAAAAAAAAAAAAAACTACACTATTGTCTATGATATTTGCCTGTTGGGTTTTTATAGGTATTCTTTATGATGTTAGGGAAGTTTTTTTCTCTTCCAAGTTTGCGAAGAGGTTTTTAAAAAAAATTGTGAGTAGATGTTGAATTTCATTGGGAAAAAAAGAAAAGAATTTCATTGGGAAAAAAAGTAAAGGACTAGAAAGAAATGTAATAAAAATTAATAGTTAATTCTAAAATATTATTTCGTACAGACATTGCCCAAAAAGAAAACTTTCTGTGAACTTTAAATAGAAACTCAATGGTATATAATAGGCAATTGGGTTGGAATTTTCAGAGGACTTTTTCATTTTAAAAATCAAAATTTCACATTCTATTTTTCTGATTTTATTGTTACTAATTTTGTAAGTGGTTTGAGTTAAATGCGTTTCCCGTAGTCTGATTATCCTTTGGGAGGCAGTCAGCCTGGCCTTTCTTCTCTGTTCAGCTGCTCATAGACCGCATTGCTAAGCCCACTACTCATTTGTAATTGGGTTCATCTCTACCTTATAGTCTTGTCCTTACTGTTTTCTAGCATAAAACTTCTTTGTCAGTCAGCCATGTTTACTTACACTTGTCTGTGTATGCTCATTCTTTGATATAAAAAGACCTAGCAAGATATCTGGTAGGTAGCTAGCACATACTTATATATTATTTGTATATTCATTCTGGTCTCCCAGCCTCTTCTCATGTTAATTACCCTCTTTCATTTTGGTCCACCAAGTACTGTAATAACCTGTTCAAGGTCTGGATGTGAAGCCTTTTCTCATTATTCAAGTGCAGAAGGATCTTCCATTTTTTGGAACTTACGCTTCTAATGGGTACCAGACAGCATATTGGTTTTCTTTGCCAAAGTCAACTAAAAGCCTCTACTGAGGATAGGCATCTTGTTTTCGTCTTTTCTGTCTACCACAGCATTAAGCTGCTAAGCATTTTACATGGTGCTAAAGAAATACTGTTGTCTAAGAGGAATTTTATATTATCTTTGAAAGGAAAAAAAAATAAGCCTAGGTATTACCTATGTGGCTTTATTGGGAAATTATTAAGTATAAAATGAGATGAGGAAAAACTGTCTGCATGTCAGTTTTGTCCTTAGACTGTCATTCTGTTTTCTGTGTCAGGAATACCTAGGGTTGAGGTCCATTCTTGAGAAAACCACCTACTGATCATACTTCTGAGGTCTTTGATTTTTATTATATGCTTTTTGTTTTAGACCCCTTCGAAGGGTGTTTGAATAAAGGAAGCAATGAAAATCTGAGCCTTTCCTAAGGAGTAAATTGTGAACTGTTGTAAATCCAGAGAAGCACTTTGTCAGTAATGACAAAATTTATGTTTTCCTGAAGGATGTTTTAATATCTGCAACATTTTGGGAAAAAAATTTAGGAAGATAGAGAAACCTCATCTCATTGACTTTCTGTTTTAATTTTCTGTGACTTTAAGTACTTTCTTAGAAATCTTTTGTTTCTGTAATAATTGAAATGATGGCCATTACAAATAAGCTAATTGCTGTTCTAGTTCTTATTTTGTATTAGTATTATTTTTTTAAGCTGGCTACCATGAGCTATTTGTTTTATAGGATTATTGTTTTTACGGGTTTAATTCGGATTTAAGCTTTGATAATTCTGTTCAAACTATGCCCTGAAATTACCATATTGAAGATAAAATAAGGCTTACCTGACTGTGGATCTTGACAACTAGTAGTATGTGGTCTTTAAAAGATATTAAGATGAAGAGTAGCATCAGATCTTTATAGGAAAACTAGCTGAAGAACATGACCTGTCACTCTTTGGGATGCTAAAGAAAATTTTAAAAAAATTCATTATATACTGCTTTTTTGGTTCTTTCTTACTCTTTTATCTGATTCTTGTTTCTCCACATGTTATCACTTAGTATGTCTTTATAATCAGATAAAAGTACTTTGAGTGGATTACATCTTTATTTTTCCTCTATTTAGAATTCTAGTCACAGCGCATATTGAACTGAATTGGATTATAGGTTATGGGCCTGTTCTGAGCTTTTCAATTTATCACTCATTTCCTTACAACCTATGTGCTAAATGCTGGTATTATCCCTAGTTTATGGATGAGGAAACTTAGATGTTTGCCCATAATTACATGGTTGATTATTCTACTGTTTATTATCTCTAATGTGTACAGAATACTAATCCAGTCCCTATGCTGAGGTACAAGGTGTTTCTAGGTAAGCATATCTAAGATATCTTGAGACAGCTTGTCTTTTACCATCCTGTGATCTGTTGGGGAGACCTGGATCAAGAGATAGCTGATTACAGCTTTGGTCCCGAGTTTTATATAAAATCTTGATTTTTAGAAGACAGTCACCAAATCTAATGGGCTTTTATAGCCCAATCAGCTTAAAGTTAATTCTATTCAAAACCTTAGTCATCAATGAATTGTCAGTTATGTTTTCTTCAAAACAAATAATCTGGCCAGCCACACTGGTACATGCCTGTAGTTATGGCTACTTGGGAGGCTGATGCAGAAGGACTCCTTGAGCCCAGGAGTTGGAGACTGAAATGCACGATAATCACACCTGTGAATAGCCACTGTACTTAATGGCTAGGCAACATAGTAAGACCCTGTCTCTTCAAAAAATTAAAAAATTAGGTGGGCGTGTGACACACTTAGAGTCCTAGCTACTCAGGAAGCTGAGGTGGGAGGATTGCTTGAGCCTAGGAGTTTGAGGTTACAGTGAGCTATGATTGCACCACTGCACTCCAGCCTGGGTGATAAAGCAAGACCAGATCCTGTCTCTTAAAAAAAAACAAAAAACAAAAAGCAAACAAACAAAAAAATAAGAACCACGAAAAGGTCATATTTCTTATTTGTCTAATCATCTGTGGAGAAAGACAGCACATAGGAAAGCCATTGGGTGACATTCTGGCAAATTCCATGATTCTGTCTTGCAGTGAAGCCTCGTAATTTTTTCCAGAGGTCCTTTGTACCACATCCTGTATTGTCATGAACAATTTTATGTCTCTGAAAGGTAATACGGGTTATTTCTTAATGGATATGGAGTTTCCTTTTTGGGAAGATGAAAAGTTTTGTAAATATATGATGGTGATGTTTGTACAAAAGTGTGAATGTACTTATGCCACTTACCTGTGCACTTAAAAAGGGCTACAGTGATAAATATTACATATATTTTACCACAATAAAGAAGAAAATTTAAAAAAAGATAAAAAGGTAATTATTTCACCTAGATCTATGTGTGTGCGTGTTGTTGCTTTGTGTGATTTTCTGTTGGAGTTGAATGATATGCACTGTAACAGAAAACACACTGAGGTTTGTGAGGATGACATAGGAAGGTGGTTCTAGTGGAGCAGTTAAAGATGGTCAACTCTGGAGCCAGACTGCCTGGCTTCATGTTCTGGTTCCAATGCTTTCTTGCTGTGTAACCTTGGATAAGTTTCTTAGACTTTCTGGGCCTCAGTTTTCCCATTGTGAAGTAGAGATAATGATAGTACTTATTTCATGGAATTATATTGTGAGGATTAGATGAGCTATTGTTAAAAAAAAAAAAAAAAAAGCCAAGCGCGGTGGCTTATGCCTGTAATCCCAGCACTTTGGGAGGTCAAGGCAGGCACATCTCCTGAGGTCGGGAATTCAAGATCAGCCTGAACAACATGGAAAAACCCTGTCTTTATTAAAAATACAAAAAAATTAGCCAGGAGTGGTGGCACATGCCTGTAATTCCAGCTACTCTGGAGGCAGAGGCAGGAGAATAGCTTGAACCTGGAAGTTGGAGGTTGTGATGAGCCAGGATTGTATCATTGCACTCCAGTCGGAGCCACAAGAGCGAGACTCCTTCTCAAAAAAAAAAAAAAAAAAAAGGCTGGGCACGCAGTGGCTCACACCTGTAATCCCAGCACATTGGGAGCCCGAGGCAGGTGGATCACAAGGTCAGGAGATCGAGACCATCCTGGCTAACACGGTGAAATCCCATCTCTACTAAAAATACAGAAAATTAGCCGGCGTAGTGGCACGTGCCTATAGTCTCAGCTACTCAGGAGGATGAGGCATGAGAATTGCTTGAACTCGGGAGGCAGAGGTTGCAGTGAACCGAGATCGCGCCACTGTACTCCAGCTTGGGAGAAAGAGTGAGACTCTGTCTCAAAAAAAAAAAAAAAATGTGTAAAACAGCCAGGTGCAGTGGCTCGTGCATGTAATACCAGCACTTTGGGAGGCCGAGGCGGGCGAATTCGACACCAGCCTGGCCAACATGGTGAAACCCCATCTCTACTAAAAATATAAAAATTAGCCAGGCGTGGTGGTGGGTGCCTATAATCCCAGCTAACTACTTGGGAAGCGGAGGCAGGAGAATTGCTTGAACCCTGGAGGCAGAGATTGCAGAGAGCCGAGACTGCACCACTGTACTCCAGTGGACCACAGAGCAAAACTCCGTCTCAAAAAAGAAAAAATGCTTAAAAAATGTTCTATCACATAGTAAGTGCTAAATGGATGGAGCCCTAGACCCGGGTTCCAAAAAATATTACTGATATAAATACATTTGCAAATGTAAACATAAATTGAACATTTATTTTTGCTTTTTTTTAAAGGTAAAAGAAATAGGAGATTACTTTAAACAAAACCTTTTACAGTCCAGGCACAGAGGAGCATTTGAACTGGCTTATACTGGTTTTGTGAAACTCACTGAGGTACTTAACAGGTAAAACAAATATCCTTTTGTCTATATTTTAAAAAGACTAAATGTACAAAGCATGTGCTTGGAGTAGAATTCAGTTGTGGCTTTTGATGTTTAAAAGAATGAGACTTGGTTGACTACAAAACTCTTGGAAGAAATTGTTTTCTTAGGTTTCATTGTTATGATTTACTGCAGATGATTGAAATGTCTAAACTGAGTTATTCTCTCATTGAAAGGTGATTTGAAGCAAACTCAAAGATTTTGCTAAAAATAGCTTGTAATTACGGTTTTTTTTTTTTTTTCCATCGAAACGAATGTTTTGTCTGTTTGAAAATTACTTGGTGTTTGGAATAAAATAAGCCTTGTAATTTTGGGGGTTTGTATTAGGGACACACTTAAGGATTTTGGTTTTTTTCTTCATAAATTTATCTTATAGAAAAGTTTAAAAGAGCAGTAAGTAGACTAAAAAGTAGAAAAGATTTTTTTCCCCTTTTACCTGGAAAATTACTTAGATAGATTTCATATATTTAACCAAATGTATTTTTTGACATTATAGTTACAGATAATTTCATTCATTCATGGAATAGATTTCCTCCAAAGAACTGTGAGGAAACCTTAAATTACTTAATGACTAAGTGTTCATGGCAAGTGTTCTCTAAATAAAAGGTAGTATTTTCCAGGAAAACATTTCCATTGCCTGGAAACTTTTTGAAATGAGGCAGAGTTCTGCCAGCCTTGTAGCCTCAGCAAACATTTTATTTTGGGCTGTTAAGACATCTATTCCTTGAATATCTTTGAAACTTTTTTTTTTTCACATGCCTGGTAAGAACATTTATAAAACATTTTGGCAGTTATGGGCCGCACAGAATGTCTTTAAATGATACTTAAAAAAAAAGTCTCTGACATTAAACCTGCCTATCTTGAAAATATTTTATCTTTTCACCTTTTTTTTTGCAGTGTAGACATTACTTACGAACATTTTTTTTCCTCAAAACACAACACACTGCACTCCCATCAAATCAATTAACAAGAGTATATGAATACCAACTGTGTGCTCAGTACTGTGCTTGGTTTGGATGATGATATGCTTTTTTATAAGATGAAGTTCCTTGTATTAAAGAACTTATGGTTTAGATTCAGAAATAAGTAGAGTTAGCCAGGCGAGGTGGCTCACGCCTGTAATCCCAGCACTTTGGGAGGCCGAGGCGAATGGATCACGAGGTCAAGAGATTGAGACCATCCTGGTCAACATGGTGAAACCCCGTCTCTACTAAAAAAAAAATACAAAAAATCAGCTGGGCATGGTGGCGCGTGCCTGTAATCCCAGCTACTCAGGAGGCTGAGGCAGGAGAATTGCCTGAACCCAGGAGGCGAGTTGCGGTGAGCCAAGATCGCGCCATTGCACTCCAGCCTGGGTAACAAGAGCAAAACTCCGTCTAAAAAAAAAAAAAAAAGAAAGAAATTCGAAATACTTAACAAAAGGTATGTTGTGAGCACTGACTGGTCAGAACCAACACTGGCTGTATACTGCACCCAGCCTCTATGTATGGATGTGTGTTGACTGAATACCAGCCTGGAAGTAACACCAACACACTGGAACAAGATAAAACTGCTAAATTAAGGATGAAATTTATAAATCATATAGGAATAGCAGATAGAGAAAGCAATGGGGATAGGCTGGTAGGGCTTCAGGGAGGAGGTGGAATTTGTGCTAATGTATGAGTTGAAAGAAGGAAACATTGTGAGTAAATGTTCAGAGGCTAGAATTGGCATGGTTTGTTGTTAGGTGAATAAATAAGCCAACCTTCCTATAGTGGTGGGGTTGGTATGAAATACCAGGCAAGTTGATAGGTCGAGGCCAAATTATAGAGTATCTTGGAAATAGATTTACTGTAGCAGGGATGGAGAGAGACATCAAATAGTTTTACTCTGAAATAGCTCATAGGCGGTGTCGTAGAATGGAGGAATAGCAGTTATCTGTGACTTAGGCTCTTAGTTCTGTGTGTATTCATTCCATTTATTGGCAATGAGATTGTACAAAAATTAACCTCCCTAACCTTTGACTTCTTCATCTTTAAGGAAGAGATTATTTGCCTTATTGACAGATCTCTGGCTTTTGTTGTATGAATCAAATAAAAGAGATATTTATGAAGACCCCTTTGCATTATAGAATTTCCCACAAATGTAAAATGTGAAATTGATGTTGGTTGTGGGGTTGGCATATAAAAGTAGTTTTTTGGTTGGAAATGTTAGGTTAGATAGATTGTAATGACAGATTATAATAAGGAGAGCCTGGAATCAGTTATAACAAAGTATACCTGAGGTGATGAGGGCTTCCTCTTCGGTGATGGCTCTGGGAACAGAGACAAAGGTGGGGTTTTAGTTAACTTTTGGCCCCACGTAGCTAGTAACAACTCCTCCCATGATGTATTGTATACTTAGAAGGAAAGCTATGGACATATTTTATTACATTTATGATTTTGTATCTGAAGAATTTGGGCAGGGCTCAGCCGGGTGATTCTTCTCCTTAGGGTATTTATTGAGTTCAATTGGTGGCATTAAGCTGGCAGATGAACTGGTCACAAGGGATCTAAGACAGCTTCACTTGCATTTGTGGTACCTTGGTGGGACTATCTAGAAGACTGGGCCAGTTGGGACTACATGTAGCCTCTCATCCTAGCATGGCAGTCTTGGGGTTAAAATTCTTATATGGCAGCATGCTTCCCCCAGAGGCAGTATTACAAGAGAACCAACCAGAAGCTGTATGATCTTTTCTGACTTAGCCTTGGAAGTCTCACTGCATTGCTTTAGTCACATTCCTTTAATTATAAGTGCATCTTAGGGCCAGCCTGGATTCAGCCCACCTTTTGATGGCAAAGTGGCAAGATCATATTGTAGAAGTATATGTACATTGGAGGTATTGTGGTGGCCATCTTTGAAAAATGCCGTCTGCCACATAAACCAACTGAATGTGAGTAGTGGAGGTTACTAGGAAGTTCATGGTTGTTTCTGTGATTCTGAGTCATGGTCACCAGACAAAGGGGATTGATTTGGGTTAACAAAACCAAGGAAGTTGAAAGAGGGAATGGTTTGATAAAGATGAACAATTTTTTTTTGTTTTTTATGTCCTGAATATGAAATAATGATGGCATACCCTGGTGAAAATATTTAAGTTAGCTGTTAGAGAATTAGTTTGGGTGATGTAACAGAAACAGAGATGTAAATTTGTGAATTGTCTCCAAAAAATATCATAGTGAGATTGCAGTCTTTGGGGGAAAGCATGAAAGGAAAAAAGAACAGAGGACTAAGGACAGAGGCTTTTGAACAACTGTGGTTGAATGGTACAGTTGAAGGCATTCCAAATAAAAGGAGTGGGGAGACTAGGGAAGGCCCAATGCCTGGTATCTTAGCCACTCCTAATCTTCTTTAAAGATTTTCTCATGGCTGTTACTGTTGGCTATCCTTTTATGAGTTCTCAACTGTTGCTTTCAAACTAAGTAGTTCTTGATCCCTTTAGAGACATTTCAAATCTGCTGAACAGAATGTTTTGCAGAGAACATCTTAACAGTGTGTGTGGCTTTCTTTTGTTTGGTTTTTATTTTTAAAAGAAAATTTGTTTCTTTTGGAGTCCTTTTGAAAGCATTTTATAAGCTCTTAAGTTATGAAAAAGTTGTTTAGGCATACAACATTTAAAAAGTTTGCAAAGAGAAATCTGGGCATTCATGAAAATCCACAGAAATGGAGGCCAACTGCTGGCCACCTCTTGAACTACAGCTGTGGTAAGGAAGGAAGCACTTAAAGATGATTAATGGATACATAACTGAAGAGTTAAACATGAGCCACATTGTTTGAATAGGTTTTTAATAGGATTATGCAAAATGTCTTCAAATGTAAACTGACTGCACTATTAAACAATCATCTAAGAATAAATAGGAATGGAGATGTTATTTTTTCTGGGAATCTTTTGTAAGCAACACTTGCAACACACATAACACACAAGTAGTGTTAATTTTCTGTAATCTGACTTTCTTATATAGTACTTTCTATTTAGAAGTAAGTGAAATATTCATATTCTCCTTAAAAAATATAATTGCTTGCCTGTGCATAATTACTTGTCTAAGCATTTGATTGGCATGGTTAAGTTTATTAATGTCATAAAACTCTAAATTCAAGTTTCTGGTGACATTCATATTTGCTTGTTTACTTTCTATGATCTTATTTGAAGTAGTTCTTCCAATGAAAATGAACAGAATTCTAAACTAGGATGTTAAATTGGGAATCTAACTTTCGTTTGTCCAACCATAAGTTATAAACTTAACTATAAGGGGACAAAATCATTGATTATAATTCTAAATCTAGAAGGGAGATTTGTGAGTGCTTGATGTTGTCTTACTCTTCAAATAATCGAATTGCTTTAGTTGTTGAAATGTAGCTTAATCTATAGCTATTTATTGCAGTAATTATAATTATTTTCACATTATTGGCCTGAAAAAATTAAATTGGGACATTTGGCAGTTTTTGTCATAACATACTAGTACTGACTCATGGACATCAACAATTACAGTGGAGAGAAATCATTTAAATATGTATTTAAACTTTCATCAGTTAATTATAGCTACTATGATTCAAATTCAACAGAAAACTTTTAATAAGCAATTTAAATATAATAGTGCAAAAATAATTTATTCTACCTTTCAGGAGAACGAAAGACCAAGTCTCTAAAGAATATGCAGTTGAGCAAGAAATAAATGCCGAATATAATATGTAAGATTTGGGGGAAAAGTTACTCAACTTTAGATGAAAGAATATACAATTTTGTGTAAATTTTATTTTTCATATAGTTTATTTATTTGAGACAGAATCTGTCTCTGTTGCCCAGGCTAGAGTGCAATAGCACAATCTTGGCTCATTGCAACTTCTGCCTCCTGGGTTCAAGCAATCTTCCTGTCTCAGCCTCCCAAGTAGCTGGGACTTAGAGGTGCCTGCCACCATGCCCAGCTAATTTTTGTACTTTTTGTAGAGAA